ATGTTGTGGAGTCAGAAGAGGATAAACATGGAAGATCTTGAATACAGAAGCTGGCAGTGGAGTTCAGAAGCTTTGTAACATGAATTTTTTTTGTTTTGTTTTGGATTCTGATTGAATCAGGAAATGGACAGTAGTACATTTAGCAAACATTCTGGGATTCTAAAACTGCATATGGGCTTGTCAAGTTTGCAAAGAAAGAGGTAGTTAAGTGGCAAAGTGCCATCGTGCCAGTTTTGCTGGAAGGAATAGTCTGTTGGAAGGAAAAACAGTAAATCGTGGCAAGATGGGCTTGGTGTGCCCAGCTAAGGAATTACAGCTTGTTCTTTAGACTACCTAAGATACAAGAGGCCTTTGAGCCTGTGAAGTGACCTGATAGAGCAACATTTTAGGTTGGCTTTTCCGAAACAGATTCAGTTGTGGTCACTCTTGCTCAAAATCCTTCACTAGCTCCCGGGTGCCCTGAGCAGGACTTTCCATCCAGTGTGGCACACGTGGGTGACAGATGTGCCAAAATAGTGATCCCTTCAGCCGTGAATGGGCCCTGGGGCAGCAGGGACCCCTGAATCAGCCCTTCCAGCCACAAGCAAGTTAGAAGGATATCATTTTTTGTGTAAGAAATGACACGAAAATGCTTGGAAAGCATATCTTTTGCACAGGTACGAGCCCTTCCTGACGCATTCCCTGCTCACTTGCTTGGGGTCACCTCCTGACATTTGCCCCAAAGCGCTCTATTTCATCCATCCCACCATCACACACCCCAGTTCCCCCATGCCCCATCCTGCTGCTCTGCCTTTGTCCCTACATGGCTCTACAGACGTCCCCGCCTTGTCTGCCTGGCCTGGTCCTCGCCCTGGATCCTGGCTGACTGAGGCCTCCCTCCTGCATTCCCTTAATAAGCAGGGCACATCCTCAGTGTCCACTTGAATTATGATGGTTTGCGTGTCTTCCACAGATGGGGCTGGCCAAGACTGAATGTTTTCCATCCAGTTAATATATGTTGAATTAATATTTTGAATGAAACCCATGAAATTGGGAAAGGTAGAGACAAATAACCCGCACAAGTCTATTTCAGTTGTTTGCACCACATAGATAGATGCCCAATAAATAACTACTGAATGAGTCAGAAAAGGAAGAGATGCAAAAGGCGATTGACATGTAGAATCCACAGGACCCATGATGGTCTGAATGTAAGAAAGGAGGAAGATGGAGAAGTTCGAGATGTTTCGGGGCAAGCAGCACCCTCAACATAGTAATCCTGTACCACTTTGGAGGCTGTACCCCAGATAAGCTCTCAGACTTGTGCCCAGCAAATCAGGATTAGAATGTGTATTGCAGCATTGCTTATAATAGGAGAAACATAGGAAGCAGCCAAAATGTCGTTCAGTCAGGAAATACATAAATAACGTGTGGTCTGTTTATACAATGAGTGAAGTGATGGCAAAGAATAGGCTAGATATTGAAATTTTCACATGCTTTTAAGTCTTAAAAGACAGACATTGGGTGAAAGGAGAAATGAGAATGGAAGGTAGGCACTCTGAGACAAAGCCCCATAGATTGTTGATTAATACGTGCATAGAGAATAAAACTATGAACGCATGCGTGAAAGTGAAACCCAGCCCCCTCAGGGTAGTGGTTACCCTTGGGAAAGGGAGAGCCCGAGTAAGATGAAGGAGCTTTTGATTTATCCATCATGTTGTATTATTCACAGCAAATGTGGCAGTACGTTACTCGCATTTATGAAATGGGTGGTGGGTATTTGTCATTTTAGTTTCAAGACTTTTCTGTTGGTTTGAAAGAGTTCATGCTTTTAAAAATTAACATCGCACAAAGGAAAAGGCTGGGGAACCAGGAGAATAACCCCACGTTTCTGCATTTAGACTTCTGTTCTAGACACCCGCCTCTATTCAACAAGTCTGGCACACAGGGTGGGATCCCATCGGCCACAGAGGACTTGCCAAGTCTTAACACCATTTAAAAGCATCAATTCTCAGTTCAGTCCCCTGAGACTGATAGATCTATCGACACCTCTAGAGACTTCAAAATGTGCATTAATATCTTCCATCATTGTTTATGGCTTCCACCCCTCCCCATTTTCTCTGTATATGAGAGCATCTCTCCAACCTAATTAGATTTAGTTTCTGCAGTAAGATTTAAGGACATTCTTTCACATGTGTGACTGGAATCGATCTTTTGAATCCGTCACTGTTTTCTCTTGGTTTGTAACTTTGTAAATTTTTCTTTTCTTTCTCCCCAAAAGAAGCAAGTACTATGCTTATGGTGAATTTCACTATTTCTAAAACTGCTTCCATGAACACTTTCAGTGGTATGCTAGCGCAATTTGCACTGACTTGGGGGGGGTTGGGTGGTGTCAATTGTGGGCATTTCTTCCCAACTGGGTGTCCGGTGACATCACATTGGTAGCTTGAAATCAGCCATGTTGGGAGTATTTACACCATGGGAATCAGCAAATCCTACCAGTCAAGTTTCAGTTTTTTCCCCTGGAGAGCTTGTGGTCAAACCTTTGCTAGCCTACCACTAGGGGGCATAACCGCTTCTGAGTTGCACAGGGCAAGTAGCATTTTTCTCATTTTACACATACAGAAACCAAAAGTCACAAAAGGAAAAAGTCTTGGCCTGAGGCACAGGGCTTCAGTGCTGGGGCTCCGGTCTGTGTGGTGTAGATGAAGATGCACTGGCTTTGGAGCCAGGCAGATCTGAGTTTGAATCTGCTGTAGCCTCTCTGATACTGTGAATTGTTCAATTGTCTGACTTAGCCCCTCAGTTTACCCACCTGTAAAATAAGGATGACGACATCTAGTCTGTAATGATCTTGTGAGCGATAAGTGAAAAGACGTGTGCAAAACCTAGCAAACCGCAAAGGAGGTATGCAAAAGAGGTAATTTGACCTTTTGACTTACGATTGACATATGAGTTCAGATCCATTTATTTTACCCCATGCTTACCATTACCATGTATATTTTTTATTTCAACTTTACCAGACCAAACACCTTGGACGAAACAGTGACTTTATTTTTACTCCAAATATGTGCCACTGGAATCGGGTTTAAAAAAGTCTCAGAGTTGACATTTATGTGTGATTTGGGGAATCGGGTTCTTTCCAAAAATGTTAGTGATGTATGTACTAGGTATCAACTAAGATCATTCGTCAGCTGCCTGGAGTTTTCTCCACTATCTCCACTAAGCATCCTGAGCAGGATTGATCTGGGGGCCCATGGGTGCTACAATTCCATCCCCCAAATTAACTGCAGTGGCCTACAGGGAAATTCTCTTGGCTCCTCATGTTCCCTGCTCTGGGCATTCTCTGCATGCTCCAACTGAACTGGGAGTGGACATGCTTCTGAGTCATCCAGCAAAGCCAAAATCTGCTTTTCTTTTTAGACTTTCACTAGTTAATTTTTGCCTGAGTAATAAATTTCAGTCTTATTGTGTTTTGTTTTTTTACATTTTAAAAAAATAACAGAAGGGTGTACAGTGACAGTTTCTCTCGCTACACAGTCCCCCATGGACCCAGGTCCCTCCCCATGAAAACTAACAAAACAAAACAAAAATGGAGCTCATCTTCAAGACCAGCATCAGCACTGCCTTCACTGTAGTTTACATCTGTGTTGGCTATGGGGACCAGAGAGGACCTTGGAAATCAGGGACACTGCAACAAGCTGCTATGGCTTGTCAAAAAATGCAAAGCCAATTGGCCAGACTCACCTAGAATAAAATTACAGGGAAGCTGCTTTTTATCTATAAAGATAAACGGCACAGATTGCGCAAATACCTTCCATCAGCTAAACCTGGTTGGTTGTCATATCTCTGGGGGGAAAAAAAACAGGGAAGAACCTAATGCTTATAGGGAATGTAGTACATATCAGGTGCATTATTAGGCTCTTTTTAAAATGAGTGTGGTAAAATATGCATGGCATAAATGTACCCGTTTAACCATCATTTTTTAAAATTTTTTATTGTTATGTTAATCACCATACATCATTAGTTTTTGATGTAGTGCTCCATGATTCATTGTTTGCGTATAACACCCAGTTCTCCACGCAGAATGTGCCCTCCCCAATACCCATCACCAGGCTAACCCATCCCCCCACCCCCCTCCCCTTTAGAACCCTCAGTCTGTTTTTCAGAGTCCATTGTCTCTCGTGGTTCGTCTCCCCCTCTGATTTCCCCCCCTTTCATTCTTCCCCTCCTGCTATCTTCTTCTTTTCTTTTTTTCTTAACATATATTGCATTATTTGTCTCAGAGGTACAGATCTGTGATTCAACAGTCTTGCACAATTCACAGCGCTCACCATAGCACATACCCTCCCCAATGTCTATCACCCAGCCACCCCATCCCTCCCAGCCCCCCACTCCAGCAACCCTCAGTTTGTTTCCTGAGATTAAGAATTCCTCATATCAGTGAGGTCATATGATACATGTCTTTCTCTGACTGACTTATTTCACTCAGCAGAACACCCTCCAGTTCCATCCACGTCGTTGCAAATGGCAAGATCTCATTCCTTTTGATGGCTGCATAATATTCCATTGTATATATATACCACATCTTCTTTATCCATTCATCTGTCGATGGACATCTAGGCTCTTTCCACAGTTCGGCTATTGTGGACATTGCTGCTATAAACATTGGGGTGCATGTAGCCCTTCGGGTCCCTGCATTTGTATCTTTGGGGTAACCTTTTAGCCATCTCTAAGTGCACAGTTCAGAAGCATTGAGTACGTTCGCGTGGTTGTGCGACCATCCCCACCATCCTATCTCCAAAAAGTGCTAGGCTACTTTGCCCGTCTCGCGTAGTGTTTGCAACAGGCTTTGAGGCTGTTGTAACGTTCTCCATACTATGAGGACATTTCAGAGAGAATGTGTCCCTGGCAGAGCCTGGGATGGAACCCACGTGTGTTTGTCTCCAAACCGTGGACAGGTGTGTGCCTGGTTCTGCGTCTCACTGTTGATTTTCCCTCCTCCCTCCTCTGCTGTTACCCAGGAGTGATCCTGCTGCTTCTGGATAAGCTACGGAAGATGAAATGGGAGCAGATGTGGAGGCTGACCGCAGAGAGGGAGCTGATGGGCATGCTCTCCACCTCCTTAGCTGACCAGGTGAGTAGGCAGGCTAGAAGGTAGAATTATTCCTGAGTACCCTTGAGCTGTTTCTCAAAGAAGCCTGGAAGTATATGGGTCTGGATGATTTTTCCACCGACTGTGTGACCGTGCCCTGGGATCGATCTGCCGTAGGCTTGCCTGTCTGAGACAACAGCAGAACTTGGTTGTGAATTCATCTGTGCGTTCAGCAGCCTTTCACTGCACGCACTGTGTGCCAGGGATGATGTTCAGAACTAGGATTGCAGAGATGAATGAAGGATGCAGTCCTTGGCCTCAGAGAGCTCATAGTTTATTGAAGCAGACCGATACGTAAATGACAATCTGATGTGCTAAGGGGAGGTCACCGTCTCCATCTGGGTATGGGGTGCGTAGGTCCTGCTCCTTGTGACCCCAGAAAACCACAGCCTATTTCCCAGACAGGATTTCAGTTTCCTTTTCTCACTTTTACAGCAGCACCTTTTCTTGAGAACCTGTGCTATGATCTTATCCTCAAGGGAAATGCATTTAAATGGAAGGGACAAACTGCCTGGCTGGAATAACCGGCTTCTAATCCAGGCAATCTGAAAAAGTCTTTGCGCTCCACCAAACCATTAACATAAATTCATCAAAATCCCATGTCTCATTTTTTTGCTGGAAAGTGCAGGTCCCCGAGCCTTTGACCTTGGCTCTACCAGGGTCACACTTTCAGACTTTGAGCTCCCTGTGGTATAGCTGGCCGTGTTGAAATGGAGACAAGACTTCTCGGGGTCCTCTGCATTTTTATCCTTTCCTGTTCACCCAAAAAGCAAGCCCACTCCCATATGTTTTTGCTCCAAGTTCAGTGGTCTGATTCATTGTATTTTTGCCAAGCTTTCTAATACAGAGGAAGCAAGAAACTCCATAGGGTTACTTTGCTATTTTTTTTTTTTAAGCATGGTTATTATTCAGTATTTCCCAAGCAGCCAGAAACTAATTTCCTTTTTTCAAACATGAGATCTGGTATAATGAATGAGTTAAAAATTACCCAGGTAGCTGTTTTAAACCTGAAGGGAAAATTGTCCTCCATTATCATTTTTTAAGTTAGGTCACAGTGACTCAAGTGTGTCCCCAAAAGCTAGCAATTGCATGTCTGTGTCCAAGGAGGATACTTTATCCAGGCATCTCCTCCTGCGAAGGCACATAATTCACCTCCCGGCACCACCTGTCAGCAGCTAGTTAATAAGTATGGCCTGGTGCAGCAAAAGCTTGGAGAAAAGCCCAAAAGAAGGGAAGCCTCCCTAGAAAAGTCGCAGTTGGATTTGGAGGTGGGGAGTGCGCGTGGCCGAGCGGGCACCGTGGCCCTACAGGAAAACAAGGCGCATCCATCATCGAGTCCGCCAAAAGCCCCAGGAAGCGCTGTGAAACAGCTCTGTAATTTGTCTCAGCCCCTGAATGAGTGGAGCCACTTGTCATCATGCAGTTTCCTCTCCTGGAGGCTTGGGATGGATGACACCTCGATGAGGTGGGAAGAGAGGCAGAAAAGTGACTTCATTTAACATCTGCCAGCTCAGGTGGGAAAGACTCCCTGTCTGCTCCCACATCCGCTTCCCTGATGGCGCCTTCTGGGGACCAGTAGAGCCCATGAACGTCAAGTCAGTGTGGGGGCATTCCCCCATCTCTGTCCAAACACAACTGCTTGGTTCTAGAGATGGGAATGCCCTGCAGTGCAAGCCAGCCTGTGTCGCAAGCAGGGGGCTTGAGGGAGGCCCTTGCCCAGGAAGAGCTCTGTGCCTTGAGAGTTGGCATCATAGGTGAAACCCAGCTGTTTTGACTGTGTCTGGCTTTTCTCTCCCAGGATATTTTCAATGCCGTCATCAAACAGAACCCCTTCCTCGTGTATCCGCTCCCCTGCTTCTGGAACGTGCAGCTGTCGGACCACACCCGCTCTGAGCAATGCTACAGGGATGTGTCTGATCTGAAGGTAGAGGAAGGCCAGGCTGCGGTGGGTGTGGGGCAGCCCCGCAGAGGGGGAGAGTGGTGTCCCGCCGGGGCACAGGGGGGCCGGCTAGGGAGGGCTTTTCAGGGGGATGAATGGTTCTGAGCTTTGTGTGCAGTGTGGTGAGAGAGATAAGGGCGTAGAAGAGCAGAAAGAATGTGCTTTTCTCCTTTTTTTTTTTTTTTTCCCCTCTTGTTTGGGCTTTCTGGAAAGCATAAGGCCTCCCTCCCTGCCTAAGAACCAGCTTGCCTGGTGATTCTTCTTGCCACCTGCTGCCGGCTGTTTTGGTTCATATCAGCTCCCCAAATCCAGTCATTTAATTCAAACAAAAACATTTATTGAGGGACTACCCTGTGCCAGGTGTCATAGATAGAAGAACTTCCTTCCTACATTCAAGTCGTTCGCGGCCAGAGGAGAGACACAGGTGAGGAAAGGAATGTGAATACGCCTGCCAGGTGCCGTGGTGGTGAGTGGGGGGAGGCACCAGACATCTCATTCCACCTCACGTATCAGTGACAGTGACAGAAAAGCCTTCGTCATCGGTCTCTAGGTACCAGACATAGCGGTAGGGCCCGGAAGCAACCAGCTTGAGCCATGGAAACCCGAAGAAGGTAGAAGGGCCCACAGTGACCGCCCCCCAACCCCCTGGCTGAATACAAACAGGCCCATTAGATGACCCACCTCAAAATATCTGTAAGCCCTAGCTGACCAATGGGTTCCTGACACCTGGACACAGGTACTAAAGAAGGAAAATTCCAGACGTCCCCGTACCTCCTCACCTTCCCCCTTAACTAAGAGTCCCCACCACTGCCTCCTGGCAGACAGCACAGCCTCTGTTCTGCGTCCTGCCCTGTCACTCCCTTGCCGTGTATTCAGTAAACTTCAGTCTCCTTTGTTCTGCCTCAGGTGAATCCTTTCACCGCCTGAGTCTCTAGCTGCCGCCCCACCCCCCCTCCGATCGGGAGACCCCACATTTGATGGCCTGGATGGGGAGCCTTTGGGCCCCACCCCCCACAGTGAGGAAGACAGCATGTACAAGTTATCTGCTGCCATAGTTAATGCTGCAGAACAAGCTCTTCTAACAGTGGCTTAAATCAACAACCATTTCTTTAGCTGAGGAGTCTGCAGGTGGGCCGGCCGGCCGTCTGATTTTCACTGGTTTAACCAAGTGTCTGTGGTCAGCTTCGGATCCGATGGCTGGTGGCTAGGACATCTTCGCCCTCCTCCAGTGTCTCCCATGTCCCACGAACAGGCCAGTCCAGCTCATTCTCATAGCAAAGCAGAGGTGGGAGAAGAATTTTTAGTGCTTGCAAGGAAAACTTGAGTCCTTGCAGCTAATATCCTGTTGGCTGAGCCCAGAATTAAAGGGTGTGTCAGAATTTCCTACCTACAATGGGAGGCATGAGGAACTGACCTCAGCTGGTAAGTAACAGAAGAAGGGCTTGAACCCAGGCCTGTCTGACAGCAAGTGTGTTTGCCTCTCTGGCTGTATCAAACAGGAAGTAGACACATGCAACCATAGGGAGTTGATGTCATTTAAAATGTATAGCCATTGCCCACATGTCCATGCAGTAACAATCATTTGAAAGTTTTAAAAGGAAAAAGGAACCCAAACCTTGCTTTCCGAATAAATCCATTTTTTCCAAGTGGCTTCTGGCCATGTCCACATGTGTGTGTGTTGCCTCTTATTTATACTCGTAACACACATAGAATTTTGTACTCTTCTGTTACCAAGCCATTCCTTTTACTTCAGTTGTTTTCAAATTTTCACAAATATAAACTGTGTTGTAATGAACAGTCTAAAATTCACAGCTTTCCAGGAGTGAAATGACATAGTCAAAAAGAACAAATTTTTTTTGTTTTTTGTTTTTTTACTGCATTACAAAATATTAGAAAGTATTTAAAACAGAAGTACCTCCATCATTCATTCTTTCAATCAACATTTATGCAGCTCCTTCACTATCGTGTATTTCTTAGACATGAGGAAAATATATGATATACTCAGGAATATTTCCAAGACTGTCATGAACTAGAAGTTTAAAGGTGAGGAAAATAAAATCAACCCTGTACAGAACACCAAAAAGTACTGGATAAAAAAATTTTTTAAGGATTTGAAAGCATAGTCGGTCAGTCCATAAAGTAAATGAAGTAAGCAGAGACCAGAAACGATAATAAAGTATGGATCCAGAAGGATAAGCAAAAAGCAACTGGATCTGACATTTGCTGGCTGTTTGCTGATCCTTAGGAGCTAGAGGCCTGGCTTAAAACTAATTTACTAAAAAACTATATAATTTACTATATAATTCAAACAAAGGAATGCTATTTTTAGTGACACTGGGACATTAGGCCTAAATCCAAGTCAGGCAAACCATGTGTATAACCATTCTATTAAAAGGCTATGAGTGGGAATTTGAGTCCCAACCCCAAGAAAAACAAAAGATGCTTGCCAAAAGTCAGGATCCAGGAAAAGCGATATCCTCAGTGGATAACAAGTTTAAAAATATCCATAGGAGAACATGATAGAGATGTTAATAAAACATTGTTATATGTTTTATCCTTGGCTTTAGGTAAAGTAAGAGAGACATGTTTCCCCTGAGAATTTCTCATTTCAAGTTTGTGCTCATATTGTTTGGGGGGCTGAAATTTATATGTGTGGGACAGAAATAGAAGAAACATGAAAATGTGGCAGGCACCTGGCAGAAATAAACAGAAATCTAATCTAGAAGAATACTCTCAAAAACAAGAAAGACTTCAGTGAATTCTTTAGGTGAAGTTTCAAGAAAAATAATTTCTCATTCGGTAATCTAAACACATGGGGAAATAAGCCACCATGAGAAAGGGCAGAAACTGTAGAAGTAAATCGCAAAGACTTCAGGTATTAGACTCATTAGATATAAAACATAAATATTTTTTATTATGTGTAAGAAATAAAAGAGAATTAAAAGGATGGAGGAACAAGAGATTCTCAAAGGCAAATAGACCTATTTAGATCAACAGTATTTTTTTTTTAATTTTTTATTGTTATGTTAATCACCATACATTACATCATTAGTTTTTGATGTTGTGTTCCATGTTTCACTGTTTGTGCATAACACCCAGTGCTCCACGCAGAATGTGCCCTCTTTAATACCCATCACCAGGCTAACCCATCCCCCC